AAAGACCAAAACAGATCCAGAACTTTGAACATACAAGTATTGGAGAGCCTTGAGATTCGCGAAAGAAGACGATATATAACCATTCAGACCACTGAAAGACAGGTTTCTACACAGAGCAAATACATATTGGATCAGCTTAACTGGATGTAACCTTATGTATATGATAATTCCTGCTTTTGTCATACGAACATAGGCGATAAGTCGCTATAATTTATAGATTTGAAAAACTCACACGCTTATGATCCTTGGAGTTTTGGCAATTGTGTAACTGCACATCATCCTTTCCCATGCTATAGTCTTGGGAATGCATGGGTCACCCATCCAATTCTTCTGCACATGATACTTGTCCTTGATCGCCATGGTGGCCGACACTGAAGTAATTAATCGAGTAAATTCAAGTTTTTACCTCTACTTTGGTATTTGTGACACTAATTACCACATTTAATAGTTTTTCATCCATATTACCCCATTTAGAGCATGGTTAATAGTATAGCCACGGATTCACCGCCGTATGGCTGACCGGCGATTACTAGCGATTCCTGCTTCATGCAGGCGAGTTGCAGCTGTTGGCTATATGATCTTGCCACATCATTTATAGTCAGCCTTATAGCCGACAAGTATAATAGATGCATATAAATTTGAACTACTTTGTTGATACATGGCCCACCTCCCTCTCTCACAGACTGTCTAGGAGCACGTGCTACAGCCGGCTGTTAGTGAGTAGTCCGCTTCTCTTCTCTCTCCTCTTCTCTCTCCGCCAACTCATAAAAAATATAATATTTAAAGTCTTATAGCCCGCCTATGTCATCCTATTATACTTGCTCTTAGTGAAAGTTTCTCTAGCGGTTCTTTTGGCGAAAAAGTGTCCTGGAGCTATGTCTAGTACTCCTGGAGCTATGTATAGTACTCCCTCCATCCCGTATTAGTTGTCGCTAAAATGGATGTATCTAGATGTATTTCAGTGTTAGATACTTCTGTTTGAACGATAACTAATATGGTACAGAAGGAGTATGATGCAATACCTGGAAATAAATCTGATAAAGGGGAATGAGGTGGAATCAATGGTCACGTAGTTGTGTGACATGAAGGAGGTGCCTATGTACGCCTCGCGATCATGAAAACAAAACCATGTACGGCTAAGCCACTGAATAACACTAGAAGGAAAATTTGCGACATGGCATGCCACGTGTACCTCACGACAGAGACCTGCATGATAGATCACTAAATGGGGTAAAAACCGACAAGACATTTTGTTAAATGGGGGTAAAACCCGGCAAATGTCTTGCTAAATGAGGTAATCCGGACAAAAAAACTGTTAAATGGAGTAATATGTGTCAAAATGTAAAAGGGGTAAAAATTGGAACTAATCGCACCCATTTTTTTTCAGTAGTGTGCATGATGTGCATAATTAGTGGCTTAAAGATCAGCTCGTGTACATGTGTCAATGTGGTTCCATAATCTATGTATATGTACGTACCGTCCCGGGAGTCCGTGCCGAGGTTGGAGGTGGACATGACGGAGAACAACTCGATGGCGTTGATGATCGGCGGCAGCGTCGAGTTAGTGGTGGCATGCAAAGAGATATTGTATTTGTCGTATCGGAAGGGCTTTACATTGGAGATGACACCGGTGCCGTGGTAGTACAGCTTAGCAGCGGTCATGTTCAACTCCATGCCGTTGATGCTGACATAGAACTGGCGCACGGCGCTGCTGGGGAGGATCTGCAGCTCCGAGAAGTGCATGACGATGAAGTACCCCGGCGATGGGCTGCGAGGCTGCGGCACGGGATCCCAGGAGATCTCGAGGTTCTTGGAGGCGTTTAGCGGCGTGACTGCCGTTCGCATCACCGCCGACGGCACCTCGTAGTCGTCGTCGTCGCTCTGCACCTGCCTCGTCGTTGATATCTCTGTCCACTCTTTCGGGTCGGCCCAAGGGATCCATACTCGGTCGTATGGGTCTACGGGGTACCTGCTGATCCATCGCGTTTGTGACTGTCCAGTACTACAATCCAATTGGTGTACTTTGGAGTGGTAAACTGGGAAAAGAGATAGACAACTCGAGATATTTTGCAGTTTTGCTCACCTGATGATGTTGGTCTCGTCCGCCGGGCCAAGGTTCATCCTGTGTTCTACGAGGAGACCCTGCGTCAAGTTCGCCTGCGGGTAGAACTTCATCTTCAGCGGCCTCAGCTCCAGCGCGGAGACGAACGGCGTGCCGGCGCCGGTGTTCACAAGGCAGACCTGCACGAAGTCGTCCGGCACAACAACGATTGCCTCCGCCGTCACCTCGGAGCCTGGCGTCGAGACGTTGACGGTCTGCCAATAGTTGACGCCGAGACGGAGGTTGAAGATAGGTGGCCTGCCAAGGCCGTCGTAGTCGCCATACAAGAATGCCGCGCGGACGAGGTACTTGCGACCGGGCACCAAGGGCCGGAGGGTGTAGCAGTTGCGTGCTCCGTCGGGGAAGCTGCGCACATTGTGGTAGCGCCGCGAGAGCTGCGGCCGGATGTACTCGGCCGAGATGTTGTGGTTGGCGCCGGCGGCGTCATCGGTGAAGCCGGCGTCCGAGACATATAACAGCTTTGTTCCCGCGTCCACGTAGCTCGCCGTGCCCGGCAGCCCGCAGTCTATGCTTATGAATCCTGCAGTATCGCAAGGTACGTATAGTAAGTACATGAAGTCGTTAATGGCGCGCCCGCGGCCATTGTAGTGCCGAGATTAAGGGGGCGCGATCTTCCATGAGGTTTTGAGAGCACACCTTTGCTCTCAAGCTGTGCGCGAGCTTGGGGTACGCCGCCGGTGGAAACGGCGGCGAGGCACAGGAGCAGCAGCCATGGGCTTGCCGCCGTTGGTTGCTCCATAGCACGTGCAAGAGCAGTTAGTAGTGCATTTGACTTTACGCGTTCAATGTCAGTGTATATATGCCCAGGCTTAAACTATACCTAGGATTCTAGATTAGCAAAGCCAACTCTCAGCGAGCTTAATGATGAGCTGATCACGTCAACACCACCATGATTAACCGCGTCAGCTGCACATCTCTATGTCCAGCACACAACCTGCACGATTCCGTATGTCTGGGTTCTGGCGAAGCAAGAGAAAGTCGCCAACGGTGGGTCGCCGACGGGTGGGTCCCGCTCTAATAACCTTGGCTGGAAATCTCCTGTCACCTATGAGCAATGCTACACTTACAGCCAATTTTTTACAGACTTAGTCTTACGGAGAGTGATGGCATTATGAGATTCGTGGGAATGGGGCACCACCCCGAGAATTCAGGGGGTGGGATGAATTAGTTGCTGCCACCTCAGTCCGTAGAGAAGTTGCCGTGAATGCAGTCCGTAAGTGAAGCAATTTCGGTCACCTATTGGGATCCAAAAACGAAATGCTAGACCTACAGATTTCGTACGGAGTAGTGGATTACTTTATTGAGACTGGCATGTGGGTCCCGCATGTCATAACACTCAACTTAACTGTCAATCTAACAGAGTTGACTATTGTGCCACATCGGTCTTGACAGGTGGGCCAGTCATGTCATAATCGCGACCAAATTTGGCTGAACCGGTAACTAGTGGAAAGTGAAAACTGGTATAATTAATGCTTTGCAACATATTACCCTCAGTGGTAGGCAACAGGTTTTTGGAACCCTAACCCGAATTGTGGTTGGTTTTTATAGTTACTCCCTCCGTCGCATAATGTAGGACGTTTTTTGACACTAGTGTAGTGTCAAAAAACGTCCTACATTATGGGACAGAGGTTGTACTTCCTAAAATTTCATTGTCTTGCCCTATTGTAGGGATCACGTGGGCCAAGAGTTGACTTGCGTTCCGACTGGTCAATGTGGATTGGATCGTCGGTGCTTTGAGCAGCTAACAAAATGAAATAGGAGAAGGTTCTTTTTTTAATGAAATGAAATAAGAGTCGGAAAAACAAAAGATTGCACACAATGTTGGAGTGAAATGGCATGTCAACTCTCTGGCCTGGGCCTGCGTGCCGTGTGTTGGTCTGGGTGTCATGTATCTCTCCTCTTTAACTTTGGGCTAGCCGACGTCTGGGGTTACACTATGCTGGTTGGTTTTGGCTGGTTGTTTGTTTCAGTACACTGCCTGGTGGCTTTATTTATAAAGTCCGGCGCATGCCTTTTCTTTAAAAAAAATGGCATGTCACAGCTGAGCGCGGCTTGCATAGGGTATCAAGTTCTTTCTTTTTTGAGTGGATGTTGACATCAGTTCACTTACCATACAGGTGTAAGACATCGGCTCAAAGCTAGCTTGTAAATCTACTCATTCGTGATAGGTGTGTAAGTAGTTTGCATCACAAGAATAATACTGCTCATCTACATCTAAGCTCTCATGCTATGATTTCAAATTAAGGACTCTCCTCCAATTAGTGCATTATCATCCTTGCATCCCTTATATATCTTCAGCCATCTTGCAGCAGATTGATTTTTCTAGAAAAAACGAACCGGTTACTGGAATTAAAATATCCACCCAACACTCTGATATTCAAAATGAATCAGATGATAACTGAGAGCACAAATATTTGCAGGCTATATGCAAGTAGACATCTTCAAATTATCTTGTCCATATAGCTAACATTGGCATGTTATAACTAAATTCCAACACGATGATACTGATAAGATTCAAAAATGATATGTTACTCATACGAATTAATTATTTCCAAACAGGATTTCCCCACCCTTACAGAAGACCCAATGACACAGTTGTGTGAAGTCTGATGGAAACATGTACCTGACCACAAAGACAATGATTGCTGCAGCAGCTTCTTCCGATCACACATGGATCACCCAACCCATTGAGTGTGAGCAGTTCTTGAGAATATCGAAGTGATCGTTGCTCATGCTGCCAATCATAACATAACAGGAAGATTGCAAAGTACGTGCTAAATCATCAATTCATCATGACATAAGGGTCGCCCTATTCCAAATTGACTGATCGTGGCATCTTCTTCAGTAGCGTCTACTCAACATTCTTGTCACTCCATTGCCTCTGTGCTGAGCTGCAGCGTGGGCAGAAAAGCCATGGCCTCGCCGTCAATGGCGAGAGTCTCCTCATCGTCCGTGAAGCACTTGGTGGCGAACTTGACGCTGCCAAACAGATATATCACCATCAGTTTTCAGCAAGCACAATGCTAGAAAGAAGATGCATAATGGTGCAAGCACAAGGCTAGAAAGAAGATACAGTCCAACGTACATGTGCCTTGCGCCGGCGGCCTTGATGTGGAGCGCCTGCACCTGCGCGACCACCTCGTCTCCGACGTACACGGGCGCCGCGAACTTGAGCGACTGGCTCGCGTACACGGCCCCAGGCTGCATCAACGCGAAGAAGCACGTATCAGATCAGGCGGGATCCCGTCGACCCGCCATGCCCGCATGCTGTTCGGCGGAATGCCAAAGAGAGGGAGGGAGAGAGCGTACGAAGTGGGAGGCGATGAGGGCGGGGAAGAGAGAGGCGACGAGCATGCCGTGCACCACGCGGCCGCGCTGGAACCCGTCCGTCCCGCGCGCGAAGGCGTCGTCCAGGTGGACGGGGTTGCGGTCGCCGCTCACCCCCGCGTACGCCGCCACGTCGTCCTCCGTGAACCGCCGCCGGCGCGAGCGCAGCGCGTCGCCCGCCTTCAGCGCAGCCCCTGGGGCGGCGGTGGCCGCCGTCGCCGCCGTGCGGACGAGCAGAGGGGCCGCGCGGGCGAGGCGCGCGAGACGCATCCCGGCAGTTTCCTTCTTCTTTCCAGAGGTCTTTTTTAGACCCTCTTCTTTTTCTTTCCAGAGGTGAAGGACACGACACAGGACCTGCACAAACGGGCTTAGTTTTTTTTTTTTTGAGAAAGCGCTCTGGGATTTTCGAGAAAGCACAAACGAGAAGGACACGGCCCAAGAAATCAAAATCACCCCAGTGATTTTTTATTTTATTTTTTTGTAGGCTGACTTTTTTTTGCGAAATTTGTAGGCTGAGGACTGGAGTCTATTCGGCACGATCAGTACAGAAGGCAAAGCAAATTGGATTCAGACTTGCAGTGTTCGTGTACGTATGACAGCCTAGCAACCCTTTTTTCTTAGTTCAGACACTGATGCGTGGTTTGAAACTGACATCCAAGGTATATCAGGTAGTGGAGTGCATGTGAAGTTCATCGAAAAAGAAACGCAAGGGAGCGAAGCAGGTGGAGACAATGAGCCCCAGCTAGCAAGATTACGAAAAAAGCATCAGTTTCAGAAGAAAAATCATTCCTGTTTGAACATGCGCTGCTGCAATTCGATCGTACCGTTCACATATATAGTAAGACGCAGATACAACATCACGTTACATTACCCCTTTATGAGGCAAGATGACCAAGGCCACCCAGAAATTAAACTAGACAGAGATGTTCGCAATGTTCAAACACAATCACAGAAAGAGCTCAGGAGGCTAATTCAGACAGGCCTTGAGACTTTGGTAACGAACAGCATCTAGACACAAGTTGCTGTGGAGGTAGCACTATAGCACCAGCTCCTCAGTCTTCGTCTCTTTCAGGAGGGAGGCCACAGGGAAGCAGCATTTTCTGCAAGACCAGAAACAAAATGTTTTAATAATTTATATTAAAATACATTGTCGATACAACAGCTTGTAAATAAGTGGACAAACATGCAAATGGAGAAACTGTGGTATGCTACGTACGGCAGGCAACTACCTCATATACTTGCAAATACGTTAAGAACTTCAAACTTGCTAAAGCAGATGGCAATAATATGAACTTGATGAAACACATGAACAGATCAACAGCGCCGTGACCATAGCATAGGTGTTCAAATAGAAAAACTGGGTACGACAGGTTGAACTTTTTCTTCAGTTTGAGTAGAAAGATTGATGTAAACATTTTGCCACAAGCCTGCAGGACGATAAATATAACAGCATTTTTCTCCATCCATGTGCATTTTTGCACCCTGAGAAATTTTACTTGCAATTTTTATCGGAGAGCAAAGACTCCATTATAGATAGTAAGATAGACACTGTGGCACTGGGGTACTAGAGTACTAGTAGAATGATTAATACCACAGTAAAATGGGAAAGATAAATCCTGGCATTAGATAACTAGCTTGGCTGTCAGCAATTCGTATAGGGGCGGCTAGGCAGCAATTCGACCACTGTTACTGTACTGGATATCTCAGGCTTATCCTAAAGAAATTATAGCTCCGCTTCTCTTCTTCCTGGTGATGGATATAGTCTCGATGGCTTTGCCCAAGTATGGCATAAAAGTCAAATAGGATATCCTTCAAAAGGGAATTGTGAGCACCTTGCCTCTTTTACCACAGAATGTACACATGGTTTTAAACTGAAGACTATTTAACAGTAGATGGTAAAATGTGTGTTTAACAAAATGCAGCCAGCTAGACTTGAATTAATGTTTGCATAAGTTTAAAAGCAGGAAATAAACAATTTAAGCTGCAGACCCGTCTGTTTTGCTTTCACCATTTTAATAAAAAGGACATACCATCCAACATTTAAATTTGGACCATTTAGTTGATATATGAAACCTCTTCAAGCTAAATTTTTCCCCCTTTGATGAGAAATATGTCAATAATTCTGTGTGTATTAGGATCAAACTTATAAATTTAGACTCTGAGCATTCTGAAACGACACTTATTTATAGACATGAAGTGTCTCTCATATCATTTGAAGAAGTTATGGAACATGTGTTCGCGCAAGGGGGTGTATCTCACATCTATTTATAAACATGACGTACCTCAAACTGTCACACATCACTAAAATATTGTTTGGCAGCGTGGAATCAAAATAACTTCAAGCTAGATTCTGACCGCTATGTATTGTGGCTCAATAGACAAACACTGCCCAGCTACAATTTGCGGCAACAAGATGGTATTTAATGAGCTTGCAATGTGATACACTATAACAGCGTTTACAAGGTACATGGTCAAGATAAAAGAAGAAGGCCAATTATGATGCAAAGAGAAGCTCCATAAAAAACAGTGAAACTGCTTAAGTGCCCAAAGCAAGACTAGCATCCCACCAGTGAAAGCTTAATGCAATCAAGTAACATAATTCACTCCTGATACTAATTTTAATTTACATCAACGGTTATACAACCGTTCAGTCCTACACGATTTGCAGCTAAAACTCACTAGACGAGTTAAGAAACATCTCTTTCACACATACCTGCATAAATTCGTAACGCTCCCTTCCAATAGATTCATTCTCAGCAATGGAAAAATATGCCAACATCGGGTAGTGTCCAATGTAAGATGCATAGCTGTCTCTTTGGATGTTTACAGCCCATTCACTGCGATATAAAGACATGTTAATGGTTAACATCCTGCCCGACCATGTCAATCAAGAACAATTATTACCATTTAGCTAGCTAATGCAACATTTCTAATACAAAAGATGAGATACTTACAATCTGGTCAGGTCAGCATGCCCTGTTCCGACATATTTGGCTTGGAGATGCTCGAGTTGAGAATTGATGTTGAACCTGTCGCTAGCCTTCAAAATGGTGATTTGTATTAGAACTTACAAGCGATGCAGTTAAAATGTAAAAGTATGTTACTAAAACTGTAAAACGACAGCATATTAGAAGACTATTGCATAGTTGAAGACTTTAAGCTGAAGCAAGCTAAAGGAAGACAAGTACTCGGTGAACTGGTGATATTAAACAGAGTTACTCAAAATAAGAAAATTGAAAAAATGAACATCATGATTCATGAGATTGCAATTCAAAACATACAACAACATGTGAGCTCTAAGACTGGCACCGTGACTACTCGAAGCTAACCATTGACACAGCACGAGAAGGTAAATGTATCAGCAAGTGCTTTGGATATTAAGAGCATATAGCACAGGTTTTAAGTTTATCAATCATTTCAGTCAGCCGACAAGAATAAATCGACCCAAAAAATGTTCGGAGTGAATTAATTAAGCAACACCGTCGAATATTTTGGAGAGAATAAGCAACACGGGGAGATTGATCAGGGACTGCTGACCTGCATGGTGGCCGACGAGTATGGCCCTGGCCCTGGATGGGAGAGCCGGGGACCCCGGAATCAGATCTGCGGGCGGCGCGAGTAGAGATCGACGGCGGTGGTACTCGAGGAGGAGGGGGCGGGGGTCTGGGAGGGTCGCTGGGGCGCAAGACGAAAAGGGCGAGGGATGGCGCCGGCGGGTGCTCGCGGAGACGAGGTGGCGGTCGTTTCCGGCGACGGAAATCTCGAAACCCTAGCTGGGCTCTGCTCGTCTGGTCGGGGCGCACTGGAGAAGTGGAGAAGGAGAAGGGAGCTGGTCTGCTGGTGGGACCGGTCATAGAGACGGCACAGTATTTTTTTTTTGTAGACAATAGAGACCGACACAGTAGGAATCGCCTACGGGACACGGGAGAAGCCTAGCGGGCCAGCCCATTTATCTGTTGTCGTTCGCTGCACCTGCACCCTCGTCCTCGTTCGCTATGGGTTCCGTCTGGTTTTTTTTCTCTTCTTTTATTTATGCTTCGGTACTCTCTTTTTTCAAAGTTTTTTTTAGTTTTTTTCTAAATGTATCTTCGCTCCCCTTTTTGTTTCCTTTGTCGGCTTTCATTGGATTTGTTTTATATCTGTTTAACATTTTCCAAATATGTGTTTACCACTTTTTACAAAAACATGTTTTAAAGAAAAAATTTCAAAAACGTGTTGAAACATATCTCTAATGATAAAAAGCCATTTCTTTTTAACTATGAAAAAAATCTGTACATTGTAGAAACATTCTTGGAAAATGTCACGAACACATTTTTGAAACGGTGAAGATATTTTATGCTAATGTAACATTTATTTTTTGAATGTACGAGATTTTTTTATTGAATTGCACTAAGTGTTTTTTAACATTTGTATAAACCTTTTTAAAGTGTCATGTACAAATTTGCATGCAAATGTGCGACATTTTATAATTGTGCCGACACACAGGAATGTAGCCATATCGGTGAACCTTGTTAACAAATCTCGATGTCGTGCTTGTGTGATTGCTTGGCCTTCGGTAGATCGACGGAGCATCTCGGATTTATTCTAACAAGTGATATCATGAACAAGGTTCGATGTCTGAGATTATGGGTCCGTTGATCTTGAGAAGAAGGAAAGATGACGTGAAAGATGTCTGTGGTACAGTGGCGTGTGTGAGAACGATTGTGAGAAGTCGATGAGTACAGGAAGCAGTCGGAAGTGCGAGCAGCAGATCGATCTAAAGCGGCGGTGGCGTGTTCCACAGAACTTGGCGAGATCGGATCGGGTCGTGGTATGTAGAGTCGTGTTGTACGGCGGTTAGCGACTAGTCGTGCAGCAAGGCCCAGTCGGGCCGGCGACGGCTGCTCAGGGGCCAACCGCGTGGAAGGGAGCTCCTAACCGGCGCTGGCGCCGGTTTCGAGTTGTGGCGCTCGAAGCATCACGATACTGGGCCGCCCAGGAGGGTTTCGCTCGATCACAGTGAATCACGTCGCAAAAAAAAACGTGAGAAAAAGCACGAATGCCGGGTTTCGAACTCAGGATTGCACGTCCTTCTTGCTCTGAAGCAAGGAGCACTACACCACACAAGCTCTGTTGTTCTACATGTAGGGAAAAGTGCTACTTAACCATTCGTTTAGTGAAACATTTAACATAAAAAATCTGAAAATTAGTTGAAAAGTTGATTGATTTTGAAAAACAAGTTCAGTGATTTTGAAAACTAGTTCATCAAATTTTTAAAAAGTTCACAAAAA